TGGCCCCCCCCCCCGGCGTGCCCCCCTCGCCCCCCCCATCCATCGTGGGCGAGGAGGCCCCAGGAAACACAAATGAATACACACACACACAAATAAAAGGATTCCCCATATTTTCCAGTATTTTCCCATATTTTCTCGGGTGTCAACGATTAATTGTGTCTGTGTTTTTTTCCCTCCTGAAGGGCCCAGGATGGCCCTGGCCAGGCAGCGACGGGGTTCGCGTCGAGGCAGTCGATCGACTGCCGCATTGATCCGTCCCAGAAGCATTGAGTCGGGTCTGTCCCCCTACAGGGGAGTTTTCGACGTAAAATAAGAATACCCCAAAAATGATCCCCAAATACTCCAAAAATCATCTGGGGACTATTTTTTGAGTATTTTGTAGCCTTTTTGGAATATTTTTTGGGTATTTTTGGTTTTTCGTCGAAATCCCCCTGTAGAGGGACACGCCCGACATAACAGAAGCAGGTTCGTCCGTCGGACCAGTGGCAGACAGAAGGCCGCGTCCTTCGTGCAGCCTCGACGAGGAGATCGGCTGTCGGCGGGGCCGATTCTGCCGCCGATCCCCTCCTCGAGTGGTGTGCGATCCGGCATTGTCTGCTTCGCGAGCTGTGCCCCCCCCCCCTCCCGCCCTCCCCCTCCGTGCTCGTGTCAGGAGGGAACAAAAATACACAGACACGATTAATCGTCGACTCCCGAGAACATATGGGAAAACATGGGAGAGGGGGGGGGAAGAGGGGGGGGAAGACAGAAACCCAGAAAACATGGGAAGATATGTGGAATCCTTTTATTTGTGTGTATTCATTTGTGTGTACCATGTCCTGGGGCTTAGTGGGCCCCGGAAACGGCAGGGCTGTTTTTTCACCGTTCCCAAAGCAGCTTCCCTTGAAAATGGAAGCGGCAAACAACGGCGACCGAAAACGGCAAACAAAAACGGCTCCAGGATTGGAACCAGACCCGGAACCGGCAACAAACACGGCAAAACGGAACCGGTAAAAAAACGGCCCGACCCGTCGACTCCCGGGAAAATATGGGAAACTATGGGAAATGGGGGGGGAAGACAGAAACCCCGAAGACATGGGAAGATATGGGGAATCCTTTTATGTGTGCGTGTATTTTTACTTGCGTGTCCTGGGGCCCCTTCCTCGTGGCGCTCCCGGGCGCGCGGGCCCGCCCGCCGCGCCGGGGCCGCCCCGGAGCGGCTCCGCGGGGCCGCCGCAGGCCGCGGCCCCGCGCGCCGATCGCCCGCTGCGGGCGCGGGCCCCCCCGGACGAGCGAGCAACACACACCCATAGCCATAGGGGGGTCGTTGGGAGGAGGACTGGCTATGGGTACTCCAGACGAGCCATTTCAGACCCCCCCCCCCGTGGGAGAACCCTCCAAAACGTCGTCCCCAGACTCCCCCAGGCCCTCCAAGATAGCCAGGAAGAGACCCCCCCCCGAAATGAGACCCCCTCCCTTTTATTACGAAATCTGGAGTACCCATAGGGGGGTCGTTGGGAGGAGGACTGGCTATGGGTATGGGTGCGGGTCGTCGGACCCTGGGGAACGCTCCCGTTCGAGCGGGGACCTCCGTCCGACAGCACGCACCCGTAGCCCCCTCCGACACCCCTATGGGTATGGGTGTGTGTTGTTGGTTCGTCATCCCCGCCTCGCCGCGCGAGGCTGCCCCCGTCGCCCCGCTCGCCGGGCTCGCTGGGAGAGAGCTGCAGGCGACTGGGCGTAACAGTGAGGTCGGGCCTGTCCCACTGCAGGGGGATTGGACGACACATGAAAAATACGTTTTTTATATCAGCGCACCTTCGCAGACACTGTCAGGGGGAACCCCAAATCCTGTCCCCTCAGCAGGGCTTGTGCCACCCCTGCGAGGCCCAAGCCCGCGCGACCAAAAAATATTCAAATGATGCCCAAACATACTCAAAAAACAGTCCCCAGACTATTTTTCGAAATATTTTTGAATGTTCCCCCTGTAGAGGGACAGGCCCGACATAACGTAAGAGTAACCTTTCGCCGGAGTGACCTATGGTGCGGGCATAGATGGGCCCCCAGATGGCCGAAAGAGAAGCGGTAGCAGCGGCTTGGGCGCTTGCTTTTGGCCCCCCCGCGGTCCCAAAAAGCCGCGCACCAGAGGTCACTCTTGCCCAGGGTCACTCCTGCGTGCAGCCGATGCAGAGATTCTGGGAAAGAAGCCGACCGGCAGCGCCATGCCGGAGAGCTGCTGGAGGCTCCAGCGTGGCCCGGAAGCGCGCTCCTGCTCTGAAGTCGGTCGTGTCCCTCTACAGGAGGGATTTTCAAAAATAGGAGAAAATGGTCTGGGGACGATGTTCTGGGTATTTTTTGACTGTGTTGATGTATTTTTTGATTATTTTTTGTTCTTCGTCCAAACTTCTCCTTTAGGAGGACAGGCCCGACTTAAGGCCAGCGAGCTGCTGGAAGCTCCAGCGCGGTCCGGCAGCGCACGCCTGCTCCCTCCGAGGCCTCCCGCCACGGCTTCCCTCGCCTCGCGGATCTTGCCAAGGTGCTCGCGCCACCGCCTCTCTGCCACTGCTGGCGGCGACTGTCCCAGATGAGTCCTGAGCATGCATGCATTGAGTCGGGCGTATCCCTCTACAGGAGGAGTATTCAAAAATAGTCAACAAATAGTATGGGAACATTTTTTTTAGAATATGTTTGATCATTTTTGGGATATTTTTGACAATTGTCTAGTTGTCGTCCAAAATCCGCCTGCAGGGGGGCTTGCCCGACCTAATGCATACACCTCCCAGGCCCCCTGCGGCCACGAACATCTGATTAGCTTGTCTTCGGCGTCACCCCAGGATGCTAATACCATGTGTGCGTCGCCCCCCCCTCCCCCCAGGGGCACTGCGCGCGCAGGAAGACCCTGCAGTATATGCGCCGTGGCGGGCGCCTTCTGGCCACACCGCTCGGGAAACGCTACACTGCCAGATGGGTCCATGACATGTTCGGGCCGGACGCGCGCCTCCAGGGAGAACACATCTGATGCTAACGTGTCTCTGCGCGCCCAGTGCCTCACCGCCGGCTCTGGCCCGCCGCGTCTCGGCGCCGCACGCGGAGCGCGCCCCGCGCTTCCAGGCGTCGACGCCCCGAGCTCTTTGTGCTCCCCGGCCTCCCGCCCCGCTCTCGGCGGAGCGACGCGCCACATCCGCCTGCAGGGGGCAGCGTGCCGCCCGGGGCCGCCGAGGCGACGACGGAGCACGCGGCCCTCACCGCACGGCTGCCTCCTGCGGCGGGCACGGGCCTCGGAACAAAAAAAATATGGCGAGCACTCGTGCCACATTCGTGCCACACTCATGCTCGAAGTTGGCGGTGGGTCTGATGAGTTGCACCGCGACCGCAGTCTCCCCCGCGCGTGCCGACTTTGAGCTTGGGGGGAGGGGGAGTGTTCAGTAATTGTTTCCTTCTAGTGTAGGATTCGAGGGAACCCGAAGAAGAAAAGACGTCAGAAACATAAACTTTCGGCGCTCCGCGCGGATTTCTGGGATCCGCGCTGGCCCCCCCCCCCCCGGGCGGCGCCTCCAGCGCCGCCCCTGGCGCGCTCCGCGCGCCAGGGAGGGGGGCCCAGCGCAGATCCAAGAAACCCGCGCGGAGCGCTCCACGTTTCTGCTCGTGCCGCTTTTTCTTCTTCTGGGGACGTATTCCGTGTCTCGCGCGCCACCCGGAGCCGCCAGCCGTAGGAGGATTCCAGACGCTGCGGGCAGGAGCGACCCTTGGCGGTGCACCTGTGGGCCCGAGGCCGGCGAGGAGCACGCGCAGGCGTCCTGGCCAGGCCCGCCCCGTCCTGGGCCCAGGGTGAGGTCGAGGAGCGGGGCCTGGCGGGGGCGCGCAGGAGGAGGAGGGGGAGGGGGAGGAGGGGGATGGGGAGGAGGAGGGGGAGGGGGAGGAGGACAAGCTAGGTGCGCTCGCGTCATATCTGACATCCTACCCCTCCCTCCCATCCCTTACCATGGCGCAGATCGCCTCTACTCGCACAGTCGGATGTCAAGCAGGGCGATGATCCCGAAAGGGTACGCGATGCATTGTAGAGCACGGCATGGCATGGCGTAAAAGAGCACCGCGAAGCGTAGTACCAACCTAGCATTTCATTGCACGCCGTGGCATGGCACGGGAACTGACGCCAGCGCTGCAGCGGGAGCACGAGTCGAAACGAGCGGAAGCGCGGAAATGAGGCCAGCGCTGCAGCGGGAGCACGATTCGGAACGAGCGGAAGCACGGAAATGAGACTAGCGCTGCAGCGAGAGCACGATTCGGAACGAGCGGGGCCCGAAAATGAGGCCGGCGCCTCAGCGAGAGCAGCATTATGGGAAAAAGTGCAGGCAAAACCTAATTCCGGGGAAGGCTTCCTGGGCGCCAGAAACAGAAATTCAGCATTTTCAAAAAAAATGTATTGGAATGGCCTTTTTTCGGCGCCGCCTCGGAACTCGATTTTCCAGCGCCGGCCGGAACCGGCTCCGGACCCGGCCCGGGCGCCAGCCCGGGCGCCGGCTCGGGCGTCCGGCCCGAGCGCTGGCTCGGGCGCCGGCCTGGGCGTCGGAATCGGCCCGGGAGGCCTCCCGGGCGCCGGAAGCAGAAATTCAGCATTCTCACAAGAAAAATGTGTGGTAGAATGGTCTTTTTTCGGCGCCGCGTCGGAACTCGATTTTCCGGCGCCGGCCGGAACCGGCTCCGGACGTGGCCCGAGCGCCGGCCCGAGCGCCGGCGGAAATGATGCCAGCGCTGCAGCGGGAGCACGATTCGGAACGAGCGGGGCCCGAAAATGAGGCAAGCGCTTCAGCGAGAGCAGCATTATGGGAAAAAATGCAGGCGAAAACCCAACTCCGGGGAAACCTGTGCGTAAAAAAACAGTGCGCGGGGGGGGGCGAATATTCCCAAGACGTCATCAGGGGAAGAGGGAGAGTAGTATTCATATTGAGTAATGGAAGGAGGAGGAGGAGGAGGAGGAGGAGGGGAGGAGGAGGAGGAGGAGGAGGAGGAGAGGAGGAGGAGGACCTAGGAGGAAGAGGAGGAGGAGGAGGAGGAGGAGGAGGAGGAGGAGGAGGAGGAGGAGGAGGAGGAGGAGGAGGAGGAGGAGGAGGAGGAGGAGGAGGAGGAGGAGGAGGAGGAGGAGGAGGAGGAGGAGGAGGAGGAGGAGGAGGAGGCCCAGTCCTGGCCTGGCCAGGGCTGGTGCAGAGGCGCCTTTCCCCGGTCCTCTGCAGTCGCCGGCAGGGGCGGCTCTGGACCAGTGGCGGTGGCCGCTCGCTGCCCCACAGGCCGTGCGTCGCCAGCGCCTTTGCCGCGGAGAGCGCGGCGCTCGCGGGCGCTTCTCGTAAGTCGGGCCTGTCCCTCTACAGGGGGGATATTCGAAAATAGTCCAAAGATAGCCTGGGGACTATTTTTGAGCATTTTGTTGACATTTTTTTTTTTTTTTTTTTTTTTTTTTTTTTGTTTTTTTTTGTTTGTTTGTTTGTTTGTTTTTCCTTTATATATATATATATGTATAAACGACAACTGTTGTTTTTGGGGTTTGTTATATATACATATATATATAGATATAGATATAGAAAACATTATCGTCGAACATCCCCCCTGTAGGGGGACACGCCCGACTTAACGCTTCTCCCCAGCACCGCTCGCGCGCGGACCACGCCGTGTGCGCGCATCCCCGCTGGGCCATGGTGCATTCCCCTCTTCCGATGGCGCCAGGGAGGCTCGGCGGCGAGCGGGGAGGGGGGAAGCGAGGAGGAGAAGGCCTCCCGAGGAGGCTCGCAGGGACCCCGGCCTGCTGAGAAGTTTTTTGAGGCCGTCCCCGAAGAACGGAGAGCTTCCAAGAAGGCGCGAGGGCTTCCTTTCGATGTCCGTTCATGGGAGCCCTGGGCGGCGACACTGAACTCAGCTTTTCCTGCATGTGGACCGCGTGTGGACCGCATTCCTGTTCCCCCTCCCCCTCCTCGTTCTCCTAGCCCCCACGAATCCAGTCCAAGTCTGGTCCCAATGCGGTCCAAATTTGTTCCAAATCCGGTCCAAATCAGGCCCAAATTGGACAGTGCTGGGGGCCACGCAGACTCCCATGGAACAGACACCAAACTTCCTAGAAGTCCCGCCGCCTTCTGAGATGGCCTTCTCCTTCTCGTTTCCCCCCCTCGCTCGCCGCCAAGAGGAGGCGAAGGCCCAGAGGGTGGCACCGACAACCAGTATCGGCGATGGTGGTCATATTACGCCATTCCGCCGACCCCCAGAACAAGGACGACGTTGGCGTGGGACTTCTGGGGGGTCCCTGTGGGCTTTCGGGGGGTCGTCTTGGGGTTCTCCTGGGTCGTCCTGGAGCCCTCTTGGGCCGTCTCGTGGGGCTTGGGTTAAGTCGGGCGTGCCCTCTACAGGAGGAACATTCAGAAGTAATAAACAAATAGTCTGGGGACGATGCTTCGACGATTTTTGATCATTCTGGGGTCCTTTCTGACTATTGTCAATCTTTTGTGGAAAATCTACATGTAGGGGGACACGCCCGACCTAAACTTAAGTCCAGGATCATCTCCCCCCGTGGCAGCAGCCCCCTGTGTTGGTGTGGGTGCAGCTCTCCAGGCCCCCCGGAGGAAGAGTGCTCCCGAGGAGGGCCCCCGACGTTGGTCGCCGTTCTCGGTCTCTCGGGGTCCTTCCTGGGCCCCGTGGCAGTTAGCACACAGCTCTGGACGAAAACTGCTCGTGTGGAGCGCCACGGGATCCAGGACCCGCTTGCTTCGGGACCCTTCTCCTGCATGCCAAGGTCGCTCCAGCTGTTCTCTTGTTCCTCTGCTCCCTTCGCCGTCGGTCCATCAGCTCTGTTGCGTGCGAGCACCGCTCCGAACCCAGGTCGACTGGAAGGGCGCCACCTGGGTCAGGGGCAGCGACGGTGAGAACTGCGAGGACCGGAGGCTAAGTACGGGGTATGCGTGTTCTCCCATGTGCTGTTCCTTGAACCGGGCCAGGGCACCGAGGTCCTGGCGATCCCTCGTACGGAACGGCCCTTCGCGTGACTCTTTTCCATCGGAGGTCCAATGTCTACTAGCTCCAGTGTGGCACATCGTGCCAGTTTTCGTAGAACCTGCTGCGATGGACGCGGTTTTGCTGGCGGGCACTTCCACTTCCTGGGTCTTTGGTTCTCTGGCCTGCAGTCTTTCGTGCTGCTGACAGCAGGCACCTGGCTTAATTCTTGTTTGTTTTAAAAGATAATCTATGAATGCAGTACGTAACGTGTGCCCCAGCATGGTTAGTTGCCATTGTCTGTGATTTTGCGTGCGCACTGCTAGCGTCCGCCTGGATATCATGCTTTTGGGCTGCCGGTTGGCCGGCTTCGCCATTGTCTGTGAACGAATGTATTTGCACTTTGTCTCGCGGCATTTAGGCGTGCTTCTTTCCCACTGTTCCGCCGTTCTTCATCTGTGACTGTGCAGGTTTGCAGTAAATGCGGACTGAAAGCTAGAAGGTCAAAATTGAGGGTATGCCACGCAGGATGGCAACGAAATGGCGAATGTTCGAGATGCTGTCCCCAAGATTTTTGGCTTTGATTGGGCTCCGCTATTCCCAGGAACACATGCAATGCTTGGTATCCGGCCTGGTTGACCGTTTTTATTACCGTCATGGCAACCGCTGCGTAGCATGAAGAGATGAACAGAGGCAGTACTGTATGGGAGGGGAGCGATGGCGATCGTGGTGCGAGAGAGGATCGCACCACAATGTTGCATCTGTGTCATTGGCCCGGGCACCCCGAAGCTATGTGCAATTGTCTTGCGGTCGGAGGTTGGGGGTGTGAGATCGCAGTGGAACGGAGAGCCCCCCGCCGGGAAATCGGTTTCGGTTTCGTGTTGGCGTCGTGCGGTGCGGGCGAGGCGAAGCTGCGCGGGCGCGCGAGAGGAGTGACCCCGCCGTCGCTGGGGCGATTCGGAGGCAGGGGACCGCCTCTCCGCCCCTGGTCGGCGCGCGGGGGCCCAGGGTGTCCCGCCTTGGTATCGATAGTGAAGTCGATGGTGAGATCGATGATGAGATCGCTCAGAATGGGATGGATCGTGAGATCAAAAGTGAGATCGGCAGCGAGGTCGATTGTGACATTGGTTGTGATATGGATCGTGAGGTCGAAAGTGAGATCGATCGAGCGATCGATAGTGAGATCGAACATGTCAGCTTGTGATTAACAAAAGGCCTCCCCCCCGGGGCTGATGAATAGACACCGCGGGGCGCGAAACCTTCTTTTTAAATCACGCGCGCCAGGGGGTCGTCGCTGGCGCCGCCGATGGGATCGTGTACCCCTCAGCATGACACCCTCAAAATGACTGCCTTTCGTATAGAAGTTGTTATAAGGGTCGTACACATCCGAGGCGAATTTTCGTTCACCCTCTCAGGCGTCATCGTCGTCATCGTCGTCGTCTTCTTCTTCTTCCTCTTCGTCGTCCTTGTCGTCGTCGTCGTCGTCGACTACAGCGGGCCTGCGCAGCACCCTCCCATAGGGCATCCGCAGTGCGTCGTCGTCGTCGCCGACGTCTGCCGTCCGCCGTCCGCCGTCCGTCGTCCTCGTCCTCGTCCCGTCGTCGTCGTCGTCGTCGTAGTCGTCGTCGTCGTCGTCGTCGTCGTCGTCGTCGTCGACGAAGAGAACGGCCGCCGCTGGAAACGGGCGCAGGCAGGGCGGGGGACGGCGGCGACGACGGCGACAGAAGAGGGGGAGGAGGCTACCCGCCTTGCTCGGGTCGGACGAAAGGCTGGGGAAGGAAAGCGGGGAATGCAAAGCCTGCTGCGCGCACCTGGTTCCGGTCGCTACACCGAAAGACAGTCCTCGACGCATGGCCGCTTTCGGCGCCAGGAGGCGCCTGGAAAATCGGCGACGTGGCGGGCTGGCGGCTCTGTTGGCGCCGTCGCCGCCCCGTCGCCGTCGCTTCGCCGCCTCGTCGCTTTGCACCGCACAGGTTGCTTCACATAGATTGCTCCAACACAGATTGCACAACATGGGTTGCACTCCATATATAGCACTACGTATGCATTCTGCATTACATAGATTTCGCAACACAGATGGCTCATCATAGGTTGCGCAACATATCGCACCACATCGGCTGCACGATCTCTATATCACGCATAGATGGCATAATCTATACTTCACCACATGGTGCGCAACGTATAATGCCCCGCATATATTGTGTTACATGGACTGCACCACTTAGATTGTGCAGCAGATGTTGCACCACATAGAGTGCACACCATGTATTGATCCACGTAGATTACATCACCTACATAAATGTATATATGTGTATGCATATGTATGTGTGTATATATATATATGCATTGCACTCCGAATGATGCACACCGCACACTTCTCTAGCCAAATTTATTATCCGTAAGGGCTTCGCCCCCTGCCGCCGGCCCCCTCTCTCGGAGAATGGGCCATGGAAGAGCTAAGTCATGAGGCCTTGGCGCTGTCGTGAAGCAGTATCGAAACTTCATGCGAAGCCGATTCGCAATCAGCAAAACCAACTGATCACAAGAGGGGTTACCACACCTGGCGATTGGTAAGACGTGTATGGTTTACGGGCTTGGTTACCACACCTTGCGATTAAAGGGCCGAGGGAGTTCTCGCAGTTTGGTTTACCACGCCTTGCGATGGATGTGCGTGAGGGGTGGCATCGAATTTCAGAAATGTGGCAAATCCCCTGTGTTTTTGGACCCTGGACCCTGCCCCGCGGATCTGCGTGAGGGGTGGCACCGAATTTCAGAAATGTGGCAAATCCCTGTGTTTTTGGACCCTGACCCCGCGGATCTGCGTGAGGGGTGGCACCGAATTTCAGAAATGTGGCAAATCCCTGTGTTTTTGGACCCTGACCCCGCGGATCTGCGTGAGGGGTGGCACCGAATTTCAGAAATGTGGCAAATCCCTTGTGTTTTTGGACCCTGACCCCGCGGATGCTGCGTGAGGGGTGGCACCGAATTTCAGAAATGTGGCAAATCCCATGTGTTTTTGGACCCTGACCCCGCGGATCTGCGTGAGGGG